TAGTTGCATTTATGGTTGCACTGATAATATCTATCAAATATGTAATATTCCTTCATATTTCCTTAATACATGATGTTACATATCATGCCCTGAGGAAGGAGTAAAAAATGTTGGAGCAGAAGGTTAAAACTAGAAAATGTGAAAGCTCAAAAGGAGAACTGTTACGCAACTGTACTTGTGTAACACCTTTTTGGTACAGTAAGTCATCTCTCAGGATCACTGTAAGGGGCTTTAAGGAACAGTTTTTATTTAGAAGAGATGAAAGAGGAGAGTGAGCATGGGCAGATGGACAGAAAGATGAACCATGTGTGAGAATGAAAGCGTGAGAGACAGAAAGAAAGTCCCCTGTGGTTGCCTGTGATCTGCTTGTATTATACAGTCTCAGAATAGCCAAACTACAGTATCTTAATAGAACCGTCAAACGATTAGGGCCTGTGTAAATTGTTTCTGGCATCAAATGCATTACAGCTTCATTCCCCCTAGTGAGGTTAAATGTCTTTCAAGGGCACAAATGTGATGGCTTATCATGACCTTCTTCTTGCCATTGCTGAGCCTTAAAGAAACAGTCGACCCAAAATTTAAAATTCTGTCGTTATTGTTATGAAGAATATTTGTAAGGGCTATTAAGGGACCATGTCTGTCAAGCTCCAAAAAGGACAGAAAACACCATAAAAATACTAATAAATACAACATAAACTTCGGTTTGTTCCTTAAGACTTGAAATATAGCTTGACTGTCTTTGCCATATATATATATATATTTTTTTTAAGAAATTAAAATTAATATGGTCCCACTTTATATTAAGTGGCCTTAACTATGTAGTACTTACATTTAAATTAATTATTTGGTACAATGCACTTATTATGTACATACATGATTTTACATTGTACTTATATTTAAAAAAATACCTGCATGTAATTACATCTGTAATTAGTTTATGTAATTACATTTATAATTACACTGTTGCCCCATCCCTTACACCTTAACCCACCCTTAAACATACCCATACCACCCTAACCTTACCCATATCCCACCTCGATAGCAGCAAGTATTTTGCAATACAATATGAACACAACAGGTACATTGTACTTATTTTTTTGATGTTAGTACATAGTAGTTAAGGCCACTTAATATAAAGTGGAACCATAAATTGCATTAACAATTATATTTTTTATTCTAAGATTTTTTTATATATATACAAAACAGTATAACATTTTAATGTAGGTGATTTATTGTTTATGAATTAATTTTTATGTTTATATTGTTTATAATTTATATAATTGCTACAAAACTTCTATTTCAAATAAATGCTGTTCTTTTGAACTTTATATTCATTAAAATTGTATTACAGTTTTTACAAAAAAAATATTAAACGGCACAACTGTATTCAACATTGATAATAAGAAGAAATCATTCTTATAGGATCATGTGACACTGAAGCCTGCTGAAAATTCAGCTTTGCCATCACAGGAATAAATCACATTGAAAATGATATTTAAAATAGAAAACAGGTATTTTGAATATTGATAATATTTTACAATATTACTGTTTTTACTGTATTTGATCAAATAAATGCAGCCTTGGTGAGCATAAGAAACTTTTGAATAACAGTGTATCACTTACATTATTAGAGTTGGTAAAGTGCCCATGCACTTTAGCAGCCTCACAAAGATGATGTCCATTTACTGACTTACAGCAATTTATCAAACAAAAGTACTATAGAGCATTGCTATTATCGACAAAGACAAGTAGTGCAGTCTCACAGTGGATATCTTATGTTGCGGTGGATTCCATTACTTAGTTTTGTACTGTGCTACAGCATCCGGATGGTTTAAATGAAGACTAATAGAAATCAGGACCTGACATTATCACAGTCTTCTTGTGCTGCTCACACTGTGCGAGTCTCCACCAATCTCAGCAGACACCTACTGTGATAACAGTTTCACCGACTGTTTAACAGCTGTATCATATCCTGCTCTAAACACTACTGTACTCCAGGAGTGCCATTAGACCGTCTGGATTGGTGATGCACGATGCTGTGGATGTTAATGTATGTTTGTGTGCATGTTACTGGACGATGATTAGCTGGCAGCGAGCGTTCAGTAGTTCTGAAGGAAACATGGAGTGAAGCAGTGGGAGGTGGATGCAGTTAAGAAACATTGGCAGAAATAGTCCTGATTGAAATACATATATAGAGCATACAATGTTTTAGTCCTACAATATGATGGACTTCTCATTGAACTGCATTACAAATTTCATAGCAACATTTCAATAGTAGCAGATATCACCACTATGTTGTTATGGGTGGTTGCCAGAGCTTTGTGTTTAACTAATAGCTTATGTAGTTTTTAATAAGGACACACAACATTAATACCATACCTGCCCATATGTTTTTTTTTTTCATGTTGGATATTGAGTTGTTGAAAAGTTGGTTTTCCCTATTTTTACTTTTAGATTACTTTGCCATCATCTAACACTCTCTTAAAGTTAAATTTGACAATAGTCACTAATAATTTAATAACACAGACAAATGTAAAATTGAGCAAATATCAAAATAAATATACATTTTTCATACTGTACATTTTAATGTCATGATACATAGAATTTAAAATTATTATGTTATTTATAAAATTATATTTATTTTATTCAAACAAAACTATAGAATTTTAATACAGGCTATTTATTATTTATGAATAATGTTTTAAAATGAAAATCCAAATGGACAAACCCCCTAAACTTAAAATAAATTAAAATATTTTAAATAAACACACACACATTTTAATATCAGTGGATTCCAATGAACAAACCACCTAACTTAAGCATGATAAATAGTGCTTCTAAGGCAAAAACATATGATTTAAAAATGGCTAATGTGTTTTAATATATCATTTAATAAGTATGCCTTGCTGATCAAGCAATCTATAATGGATCTACTGGCCAACTGTCAAGACAGCGCCGCTGAGCATTAGCAGACAGGATGGCTGTTTTGCTGATTAGACCTATTCGAACAGCCTAGAAAGGCTGGGGGGCAGAAGGAAGATGGCTATTAATCATTTAACAGAGGTTAAAAGCGGAGGCCTAGAAACAGGCAAACCAATGAGGAGCGAGTCTTTGTATTCTAAGCAGATTTTCAACAGAATCCAGCACTTTCATGCTCGCTCAGAAAGCAGTGGCGCAGGTTTTGTGCACGCACGGGTCTGGCACTGTGGAAAACTGAAGTGCATGTGAGAAAAGGTGTGTCTGAATGCGCGCGCGTGTGCGTGTCGGAAAGGGGATGAGATGTGGGGGAGGGCGCAGAGAACGTGAATGCTAAATCTGGGCAAGGGCATGCAAGGACATAACGAATGAAGGGCGTCGCTCGCTGGTTTCATATTTAAAGCTCACATCAGTTAAATTGAGAAGCTGAAGAAATGACAATTGCATGAGAAAAAGAGAAATTGTAGCGCAGCCCACCGGTCATCCCAGTTTCAAAAATGGATGTGAAAAAAAAACAGTTTCTTAGAGCTCATAAAGAACAGGCTTTGTCTTTAGATCTGGTCGCCTGGGGAAATATCACTGCCATGTGCCATTTACCCTTGACCAGTGGGTCTCCAACAGAATCGCTCATTGTGGATTCATTGTGGAGATTAGATTAAAGACTGGAGTGGATGGAGATGAGAACATGTGGATTCAACAGGACGACTGTTAGACCAAAGTGACAAAAATATTGGCCAGCTTGATATCACATATTTGGTGATGTATCAGAGAGCCCTTGTTTCTATGGAAAGTCTCCACCCTGGAGCTCAGTGTTTGTCACAGATCTTTGCCATTTCCCATGAGGCCAGACTGTATATGTCACTGCTATACAGATTGAGAATGCTGGCTGGCATGGAAACGGTGTCCTCTGCTGCTTGTTTTCAAGCCTGAATCAGCTCTCAAAAGGGTTGAAGAAAACCTCTATCTTTGTATGTCTCATTGCACCACAGTAGAGCAAACATCACCAAGGTCATAGGTTCAATTCCCAGGAAATGCATGGACTGATTAAATGTTTTCTTGAATGCAATACAAGTTGCTTTGGGTAAAAGCATTTGCGAAATTGTAGGTCTCTCACATTTCCGTCCAAAAATGCATGCAGTTGTTAAAAGCGCCTAATTCAACCCTTTAATGTATTAATTCAATCCTGGGATTAAGCGGCCATTGTGCAGTCTAATCTGGAATAAGTTGCATAATGTAATCTCTGTAAAAAGAGTTATGTAATGACCCTGCCGCTGCAGTGACATTGACAGAAGTGTAGACGGGAATTTTTGACAGGTCTGAGGTCAGCTTATTGTGCATATACTGCTTATAAAGGGCAATGTCTCCTTCCATCCCACACTTTATAGTGTCCTTTGATGTATCTGCTTATTTCGATTCCTAAAAATCCCCAGATCTTTGTTGCTGTCATCTAAAGTCAGCATGAAATCAAAATTCACCATTTATCTGTTTTGTAAATGTGTGTTATTGATCTTTTTGTGACACATGTTGGACGTCTCCAATCATTTAGTCTGCTTAAACCCCACTACTTTCTTACAAACAACTACAAGCTTACATTCACTTTTGAGTGCAATGCTTACATCTCAAAATCCAATCAAAAACGATGCAAAGTCCTCATTCTACATTTTTTCTTTTCCATTACACTCAGATGTACGTCAAAAGAAAGAAAACATTCCATTGCAACTTTGAAGTTAATCGTTGAAAATTGTTATATGCCCAGCTAACAGCGAACGTTCTCAGAACTTTGGCTAATGTTCCAGCAAGGTTCTCTCAAAGTTATGAACAAACATTAACTGAATGTTAGGAATCCTTTAGGAAAGGATTAGTTCACTTCCAGAATACAAATTTCCTTATTTACTCACCCCCATGTCACGCAAGATGTCTTTCTTTCTTCAGTCAAAAAGAAATTAATGTTTTTCAGGAAAACATTCCAGGATTCCAGGGAACGTTCGCAAAATGTTCTTAGAATATATTTTTGTTAGCTGGTTGGAATCTTTAGCAAATCTGAAAATTGAAATACATTGTCATATTGTAAATTACAAAGGTGTGATGCCTCATTAAAATAATTAATTGTAGTTTTTAGTGTTTTACTTAAAAAGTATCAAATTTAGATTTCAGCCATCTATTGGTTAGCTTGTTTTAGGAGTGTGTCAGCATGTGTTTATACCCTTCCTACCCTTTACTCTCAAACTGTAGTGTTTCTATGATGATAATTGTCTTTCCTTCCCAGTCTACCCTTCTTTTTCCTCTTCGCAGCCAATCAGAGGCCAATAAATCAATTATCTGTCAATGATGATCAGTGATGTGATGGATGTAACGCTGAAAACGTTTAACTCTCTGTCTCCCTCTCGTTTTCTTCCTCTCTTGTCTACCAGTTGATGTGGCACTAATTTTTTTCACTTTTTCTCTCCTTCCCTCTTTCCTCTCAGCCATCAAAAGCAAATTGTAAATATTGTTTTCCTGAGTATTACAGTAAAGAGATGTCCATAAAAAACTATCTAAATAGCAGAAAGTCCTGCAGGACGACTCTAGTTAATAATGTAAATCTGTAGCTGTGATTGATGTGTGTGCAATGTTTCCTGTCCCTCATCTCATTGCACATATATAAACACTTCTCCAGAGGTCAGAATTGCAAAAAGATCATTGGTTGAGAGCGATGCAGATGTCTCTGTGGAAACTGCAGGGTGAAGTGTGAGAGAGAGAGATACTTGGAATATCAGGTGTGTTATTTTTTTGCTAGTGTTTGCGACTTCCTGGCATATATAGAGACTTGCATCTATATATGAAAATAGATTAATGACTCGAAAAAAGGATCACAGCTCACCGCTAACACTTTATTTCCTCTCAAAAAAAAGAGAAAGAAAAAAAAAACAAGCAAATACTGTGCTCGGAGATCACAGTTAATTCGGTCTATTTTAATGCACAATCAGTTTTCATGAGTGGAAATAAAACTTGCAAGAAAACGCTCTGCCTTGAACTAAAAAGCCAGCATGCATAATTCCAAAAAATGGGAACGCATGCAAAAAAATCAATAAAATAAAGGAGATTTTGACGCAGTAATGTCTGTTAGTTCTAAACAAAAAGTGGGCATCATTAAGACTTATTAGAGTGCTTTATGAAGTCAAGCAGTTGTGTCTGTGTTTCTGTCACTGAATGTTTTGTTCTTCCCGTAGCTTGGCTCTGCCATGGGGCATGTGTGGAAGTGGACTCCGACATGGAGGCAGTGAAGGGGAAAGGCTTCAAATTGGGCTGTATCTCTTGCAAGATGAGAGGGGAAGTGCCGGCCTCTGCCACAGTGGACTGGTGGTTCAGGGTCAAAGGCGAGAGTGAATTTGCACATGTGAGTATGAGACCAAAGACCAGGCCTTACAGCTTGACTTCACATTACTGAAGTCAAGCTGCACATGATGCATTACCTAAATTAATGTGCAGTTGCTTTTTCAAATCCTTTTTTGTCCAAGAGCTATAGTACAGCTGTGTGCCTACAATCAATGCAGCTTAATTATTTTCATGGTAAATGCAGATCTAAAACAGTGCATTTTTAATGCAAAGCCAGGATCATGAATTTTCTATGACTGTCTTTGTGGTCAGAAGTGAATTACTGCACAACATTTTCAAAAACGAACATTCCCGAGCGGAATTTTCGGACATTATACAAGGAAGGCAGATTAAGCACTTTGCCATTACAAAAATTAGCTGCAACCAAAAAACTACAGTGCCAACACACAAGCATTTTCAATGTTATGCCATAGTCATTTGTGAGAGACAGCATATTTAGCATATTACATTACTAGAATTATATTTGTTATGCGATAATGAATGAGAATGAGAAACATTACATAGCGTGAGGAATATATTATATACACTTTATAATATTTTTAATATTTAATATTTACAATTCCATTAAAAATGTTGAGATTATTGGCATATTAAAAGTAATACAAAGCTAATTTTATGTCCTGCTGTTTTTTTTTAGGGTTTCTGCACATTTTCACCATTTTTTTCATGGCCTCTACAGAATACTGCGTAAAGGATTTATAAAATCATTTAATAGAGAATGAAATGTAATAAAGTATAAATTTAATAAATGTACTCAATTATATGTACTAGTGTCCAACAGAAACTATATTATCACTGTTGATTGTTACACTCTTCTACACTGTAAAAATTATTCATGCAAAGATAGCTGGACAACATTTTACAAGAAAATACTATTTCAGTCTTTCATCTTCAAAATGAAATTTTTAACTCAATATTACTTTCTGTTGTTTTTGTAAATATTTGCGGAATTTACTAGCAACTTATAATGAATTATAAAAGTAAATCCTTCACCCAATTTTTTTTTTCAGTGTAAGACCACCATCTAGCCTATGAACAGTTTTAGAACAGACCAAAACTCTATTTTTTATTAATTATTTTTTATGTTAATATACTGTTATTATTATTATTATTATATTAAAAAACAGATTTTACTCATTTACATGACTTTGAAAAACTAAAATTGAAAATGACAGCTTTTTTACAGCTTTTCCATGATCATTAAAGGGATAGTTTACCCAAAATGAAAATTCTGTCATCATTTATTTTACACACCATCAAGTTGTTCCAAACCTGTGTGAGTTTCTTCATTCTGTTGAACACAAAAGAAGATATTTTGAAGAATGCTGGTAACCAAACAGCTGACAAAACCGTAACCTTTGACTTCCATAGTATTTTTGTTCCATACTGTTTGGTTACCAACGTTCAAAATATCTTCTTTTGTATTTCACAGAGGAAAGAAACTCGTACAGGTTTGGAACAACTAAATGATGGCACAATTTCATTTCTGGGTGAACTATCTCTTTAACCTGATAGTGCTCTTTTGTAGACAGGGGGCGGTGTAGAGCAAAATACAGACAATAACAAGTCAACCACTGACCTGGAGAATTTAAAAATGGCTGTTTTGGGTGCTGAATAAATGCTGTGTCCTTCACACAAGCTAATAAGAGCTCTTCTTTCTTACAATTAGATCTACAGTTATGCAGATATGACAGGCTACATAATGGATGACCGCTTCGATGACCGCCTGGCCTGGAACGGCAGTAAAAAAACCGATGATGTGCAGGACGGCTCAATTTTCATCCTTAACGTCACCTTCAACGACACTGGCACCTATCGATGTTTCTTCGACCGCACCCTTGTCTTCCCCAATTACGAGTACCGCACCAACGCCACCAAGTTTATCAACATCAACGTAGTAGGCAAAGGTATGTTAATTAAAACAGACAGTGGGAATAAGGAGATTTACATGAGATGACACAAATCAAAGTAAGGAGGTGACAGCTATCTACAATTCAGCCTTGAAAGGAACTCAAGGGTGTGTCCATAAAGAAAGATGAGTCAACAACACTGAATAGAAATGCCTTTGAAATGTCAAAAACAAGGACACTGTCATTGCCTTTAAACGGCCCTGAAAGCAAAGTGTTGTCATGGCAGCAGCAGCATCAAGGCTTTCATCATCATTGGTGTCCTTGACTCACCAATGCTTATCTGTTTGAAAGCAAGGATGTCATTTCATTTTTTTTTAATAGTGGATTGATGTAACAACATTATTCAAATTTTTTTTCTTTGAGCTTGTTCTCAAACAAGTACTTAAACTGCTCCAAACATCCCAGTGTGTTGTATATGGAAAAAAAAGTTTAAGTTTGAGTCCAGATTTGTGGTCCTTTGCCAGTCCCATTCCCAACTCTCCACCCCACGCTTTCCTGTCATTCACTACTGTCCTGTCTGCTAAAAAGCATGAAAACAAACAAAAAACTATGCTAAAAAGATAAAGCATTTTGTAGGAAAACAAAATGAACAAATAGTAAATTACAAATTATTAAAGAAAATTGTGTATAAAACCATGCCCCATTAGTCAAGTAGTCAACGGTGCTGTTATTGTTAATTAAAACAAAGACTAAATCTATAAAATTTCGTTTTTAATAATTAAAATAAAGCTGAAATAAAATAAAATATAAATATTGGAATTTGTGGAAAATGTTAACAAAATTAACTTTGGCAACTAACTGAAATAAAATGTTATAGTTGAAGTAGTAAAACTACAAAAACTGAAATATAAATTAAAGCTAAACAGAAATATAAAAGATAATAAAAAATAACAACAAAAAATGACTAAAATTGTAACTAAATTTAAAATGAAAACTGAAAATATAAAAATAATAGCTAATTAAAAAAAATAAAAATAAAAAAGATACTATATTAGTATATAACTAATACTGGTAGTGCAAGGAGAGCAGGTTCTAATTGAAGCCTGTTCACACAAATACAAATAAAAAGGTAATTGTGACTTTTTTTTCTTGTAAAAGATTTTGTATCACAATTTGGCAGTAAACTTTATCTCCCAAGTACCTTTTCTATTTTTGAGTTTAAAACAGGCTTCTATAAGATTCAAATCCCTCTCTAATGAACAATTTTAGACTGAGTTTGATAGCCAGTCATCACAAGGCAAGGCACTGATGTCTTATTTTGTGTTTTAGGGGGAAGTATGTGCAGAGTATTTTGGACAAACACTTTAGTTTCCTCCATTAATACAATGCATAATAAACAGCCAAATGATCAAATTGTAATTTTCTGTTGTTGATGCACTCAAAATCAGCTTCGGAGGAATCTGAGGGGTCACATGTCTGCTTTGATGCTTCTGCTGACAACATGTCATATTTGCTGACGGTGATAAATCAGTCAGACGTATCTTTACTTCCTGTCAGAGGCCCACATCAGCAGCACTGTCACTACTGATCATTATGAGAGTTTGCGTCATAGTGCTGAAATCTGCACAAATACTTCTATCATCGTTTGATCAAAATTTAAAGAGTAGTAAAGTATCAAAAGTAATTAGATAAGGCGTTATGGACTATATGAAAGTTATAAAAGAGCCTAATATATGAATTAGAATTTTTTCTCACTCACCCCAGCTACACGAGGCATGGCGTCCATCTTTTCTGAGATCATGATGTACGTGTCCATCATCGGGCTGCAGTTGTGGCTGGTGGTGGAGATGGTCTACTGTTACAGGAAGATCGCAGCAGCTGGAGAGGAAGCACTGAGAGAGAGCGAGTGAGTCGCATGCCTTCAGTTTCCATTTTCCTCAGACTTCCTTTCTGTTTGCTCTTTCTTGATAATAAACACCTGTCAGCCTCATAAAAGACCCTTAGGGATATCCTATTAAAACAGGAAATTTGGGATTAAACATATTGAAGTGTGTATTTGTCTACCACCATAAACAGACGTGAAAATCTATTTAGTTTTACGGTAAAATCAAATTTTGTTAATTTTGAGAACTTATTGGAGTGCATTAGCATGTACACTCTTAAAAATATAGGTTTTTATTTAACCTGTAACATCCATAGAACCTTTAAATTCAACAAAAGATTCTTTAATGGAAAAAGGTTCTTTAGTACCTTTATTTTCAAAAGAATAGTTCACCCAAAAATTACAATTTGCTGAAATTATACTCATCCTCGGGCCATCCACGATGTAGATTTTGTTTCTTCATCGGAGAAAGAAGCATTACATCACTTGCTCACCAGTGGATCCTCTGCAGTGAATGGGTGCCGTCAGAATGAGAGTCCAAACAGCTGATAAAAACATCACAATAATCCACAAGTAATCCAAGTGACTTCAGTGCATCAGTTATTATCTTGTGAAGTGGAAAGCTGGTTTCAAAGCTAACAAACATGCAGTGAAAACTTTAAAACATCAGTTTTATGAATGAAAAAAATATATATCAAAACGACCCCTAGAATAAAAAAAAAAACATTTACATTTCCGCCTCTAGTTTTGACTGCTTTTCTTCCTTCAAAACTATATTTCCCTTAATCCCAAACTGATCTGCATTTTTCTGCAAGCTGCTGTTCTTAAAACCTTTCAAATTCTTGTTGCTGTTCTTTTCTTCATTACCTTTTCTGTCCCTTCTGCCTTTCTTTCCCTCCTTCCGTTCTCTTAGGGCGGAATATTTAGCTATAACCTCGGAGAACAAAGATAATTCTGCAGGTGTAGCGGTGGCAGAATAACACAGGTGGGTTAGTTAAATGTAACTGTGATGGTCACATCTGGAATTTTTGCATTCCAAGTCAGTTAAACAATCTGCCTTCTGTTTTATTTCAGGTCCAAAAAAAGTCTCAAGCCAAAAGCTTGACGCTCCATCCATCGTGGCCTCCTCCGTCACCGGCTCTCTGTGAAAACGCAGGGCTGCTGTTGTGTACGACTGTGACAGAACCGCCATTCTAAACCATCAGGGAAACACACAGTCACACATTACATCAAAAGGAAATGTTTTGTTTTAAGGCTCTAGATGAGAACTTCGAGGTTAACGAATGAATGATGCATTCATTGGTTCAAGCATGAATCTGTAACACTGAACATGACTTGTACATACGTGTTTTAGCTTTTAACACCTCTTTGCTTTTTCCACATAATGTGAACTCAGCTTTACATGCGATAAAAATGAGTCACCACAGTATATCTACTAAGCAAGAGGACATCACAAATATTATAAAGTGTATAAAAAAAATCACTAGTATATTTAAAGGGGTGGTTCACTGTTTTTTTTCTAGACTTGATTGTGTTTATGGGCTGCAGTCTAACATGTGTTAATGTTTTGTTTGAAAAAAAACGCATTATATTTCACATAATTTACCTTTATTCCACACCTCTTTGTCCCTTCTCTCAGAAACACCCTGATCATTTCCTTCTTTTATGAAGCCCCTCCCTCAGAAATAGGCGATGGGCTCTGATTGGTTAGCTAGCCCAGTGTGTTGTGATTGGCTAAACCGCCTCTAGTGCGTGTCTAAACGTCCCACCCCTCACCTCAGCCGCATGTGCTCCGGTTGTATTGTAAACAA